CAGTAGCCCCACTTACTACATTCACTTTTATCTGCTGGAGACTTGATTTCTCCTCCCAGGTTATATATTTTTGAATCACAACTCTGCCCGCTCACACTCGAGATTCCTAAAATTAACAGAATGAAATTGGAATCAAGTTGTTCTTGGATTATCAGGTTACAGAACAATAGATACTTTTCATTAAAATTAGGATTTGCATATCCCGGGGAAAGGAGAGCCGATAACACGATTTGATCATAGGGCGAACCACAGACACTCGCTCGATTACCAGTTGATATCAAATATGTGAGTAGTTATTTGTTTTCAGATGCATGGACTTTTATACAGGAGTCCAAATTAAATATAAAAGCACTAACCATCTAGCGAAAATTTCAAGCAATTGGTTAATTTTTTAGGATTTTAAAGAAATTTTAAAAAAGTGTGAATTATTAGCCTTTTAGAATCCGCCCAACCTAAAATATTAAATCAATGGTCAGTAGTAGCAAAAAAAATCAACTTTTTGACAAAACGAAGAAAATCCCTTCATTTTAGCAAAAATCCATTTGTAAATAAGAGAGTAAAGTTGGTAAGATGGATTATATGGCAACCTCTAGTCCAGTTACAGAATAGAGGGAGAAAAGATCATCAAGGATCAGAATGTCTAGACTCTAGAGCAGGGGTGTGCAAACAGGCGGCCCTGTTAATGAGCCAGCTATTTATTGGTCATTGAAACGAAAGTAATAGCATCACCGTAAAGAAGGTCCAGTAATAAATAGTCTCATATATATATAAATATGGGGAGTCTAAATTAATTTTTAAATTGATTGCTAATTTTTTTTTTTGTCGAATAAATTCCAATGCCAAACGGGATTCATATAGAGGTTTTAGTCGAATCCGTATAAATTGCCCCAATTTTTATGTATTCTAATTTAACAGTTTCATAATTTTAAACATATTCCGAACAACTTCAAATAGTAAGGGTATCCCATTGTTTACAACCTCACCTAAGGTTCACTAAACACTAAGCCAAACTAGAAAGAAGATATCTGAACCACCGAGCCTGCCAAAACCTAATACCTGGCCTAGAGCTTTGTTCAAATGAAGGCTTTTCATGGCTTCTTACAGGACCTGAAGCAGGGTTTCTCGACCAAAGGTGAGTCAACCAATGAGAATGCGGAAACGCTGCATAGTTGAGTTCGTTCAAAAATACACAGCCATGAGACAAAAAAAGATACAATTTATGGATAATTTGAAGTCTAACAAGGTGGTTACTTCCCCGGCCCGACGTATCTTCAACCAGGCTACACCAGGTCTTTAAACAATTGGTCCCCAACCCCATGATCCTTCGCATAGTCCTAACGCTTGGTGGCGATGCGCTTTCATCGCCGAGACCATTTTTGCTAAACTATTCATATAATTGAAATGTAAAATTTAGGAAATATTCTAAATTCTTCCTGAAATCAAAAATTTAAAATATCAAATAGAACTAGTTCTGAAAATATATAAATATTCAATTCATTCCTGTCTTACTGCAAGGTGCCAAACATCAACAAAATACAAATAATGGTCAATATATACGAATAAACTACTTTACCATGAGAGGAAATTCTCCACTTAAATAGAGTAATCTAATCATTTGTTAAAATATTTAAAGAGCCAGTCTCTTTAAAATATATAAAACATTCAGCCCACCTCCAATAAGGAGTAGAACTCCAATCCACTGAATGGTCTTCATTGGATAATTTCGTTTTCAAAATGTAGGAATCCTGACAGAATAAATACACGTCCACTCCACCCAAAGTACTCACTGTATATGACATGGTGGATGCAGAATGCATTGAAGCCAGCCCTGTTGAAAAAATTATAAATTAGTTGCATTTCTGTGTGTTATATATAGGGCTTATCTGGACAATAACAGGGTTAAGTGAAGATCATGATTAAATTATATATGAATCTTTTTTTCAGCCCAGGGCCATGTGTGGTCTGGTATTGTAGCATTAACATAGTTGCAGAATATCATTTACCAATAAATTCCATTGGAACTTACTCTTTTTTGTTTCATACAGTATATCACAAAAATATCTTAAGAATAAGTGACATCATTTCCTTGACGCAAAGAGACCATTGTTCAAATTTTTGCAAAATCAGACAAAATTCCCTTCAACTAAAAAACGGAACCGAAGTTTTCTTTGTTTTATTTATATCATGTATGGACCACACATTAAAAACAGGCATTATGTACAAACCATACTTGATTGAATATAGATAGAATTCCACTTTAAGCTTATAATATATGTTTCCGTATCGCGTGAGCATAAAAGTAAGAATTTATCAAATAATATTTGAAGATTCCCTTGCAGTATTGACTTGAATTTAAAATAGCCAACAACCATCCAGTGGTTCTCAAACACGCGCCTCCTTTTTAGAATTTGTCAAGTCTCGCGAAAAATAAGTAGCTGAAAATAAGCTACAAATTACAGATAGTAAGGCGAATACATGTTTTATTCAAAAAACACAATGTATATTCGTGGATGGAACGTAAATATAAAGAAAAAAATAAATCTAACAAGTATGTATGTATGTTTATTCGTCTCGTAAAAGCAAAAACACAGGAGTAAATATCAACATTGAAGACGGGATGTATACACAAGACCATACTGGCCTAAAACACATGAACATGCGGCATACACCCCCTGAGATAAGCATAAATTGCAATAAATAAAGTATATTAATATGGTCCTTCATACAGACAGTTGTGCAAGGAGGGTGGATGGGTAGCAATATAGCCAACAGGTGTAAGGGTGGAGTATGCCCAACTGTTTGTACAGAGGATTTGGTAGGACAAGACAACATCAATAAATAGAGACAATACAACATGAAATATAATACATGTAAAACGTAATAATAAAATTAGGACATATACTAAATATAGAGAACAATAAATTATAAAGAGAATCATTTTGCCATATCATGGATTTTGAATTGTAATAATAATAGAGAATTGAATGAATTTAACAATAACTGTTGTCCCTATTGTTTGCTGCATTTGAATTATAATGTACCTTACTTTCCATAAGCTGAATTGATGTTTTTGTCTAATTAATAGGAACAATAATATGATTGAATAATATGATATCCTGGAATGAAGAAAATATTTTTATTTTAAATTTGCTTCACGACCCCATGAAAAAATTTTCTATGCCCATTTTGTGGGGAGCACACCACTGTTTGAAAACCACAAATCTAGGGATATTTACGCTAGAAAAACTATATAAAGAACTCTATATAAAGCAGGCTTTCAGGAATGATAGTAACATTGGCTTGTTTTTGTGTTTTGCGGGCTGTTTGACAGCTTGGGTGGTATTTTCAAAATTTCAAATGGATATTTTGTTTATCAGGCAGTTATCGCTATGAAAGACTAAATAGCAATTCCATTTTCTACGTTTTCCTCTAATTATTCTAATCTACTTACCAAGATCAGGACACAGTGTTGATAGTTCTAATATAAATCACATTAATGACCACATACTGTGGCTAGAGACACTATTCCCACTAGTATGACATACTGTGACTAGAGTCACTACTCCCACTAGTACAGTAGTATGATTCAATATATTCTGAGTAAGGTTTACAACACCTAGGGAAAGCATTCTAAAAATAATAAAATATCAATTTTATTTTTTCTCAAAGCAAGGTTGCGACTCTCAACTAACTGACTAAAAGTTATTGATAGAGGAATTGTAAGCAAGTGATTCAAGAGCTGGAGTGGGCACGGTTTTTGGATCAGGGGCCAAAAATTTTGTCCACCTAGACTGGCAGTCCATGTAAGTATGTCATAAAGAGTTACATCTTATGAACAATGTTTACAGTGCTACAAAAGCAACAGTGAAAAACAATAAACCTCGTGCCAAACCCAAATTTAACCGCAATCTCAACAAATTCCTTGATGTTGGTTAAGAAATTTAAAGTTTGTACTTAAACCGCAGTGTTTTTGTTCAATTTTGGGGATTCCCCGACTGCGGCACGCAAGGCCTCCTCAAGATATTTTGCGGCCTTCTAATCTGGCGAATTGGATCACCCTGACTTTCAAGTTCTGGTAAAACGATACCGGTATCTACTGGCACAGCTCTTAAATGTCCGTGGCTGACTAATGATTCCCTTTTACAGTTTTACTGATCTTGCTATTTTTTCTGGTGTAGATGATAATATTAAAATTCGCATATTATGCGCAGTTTGAGATCAAACTTTCCTCTCCTCCGCCTTCCGGGATGAATATAGAAATCTTCGCATCATTGCTATAGGGAATTCCCCATGTAGTTACGATCGTTTTGATTCGTCACGTTAGTCAGCAATTATTTTGTTGTGAGTGTGCTCATTGAAGCATTAAGAATTGACGACCGAGCTTAAATTGACATATTTCGCCAACAATTTTTATTTCTTTCATAGAATCTCACGTTTTCTCGTGAATTTCCGTTCTCATATTGTGATTTATTAACTTATGCTAATATACTAATGTAATTGTTTGACGTTATCTGCTGCTGAAAAATGGTGTCGCTTACTCGATGAACTAGTATTGGTTTCTCGCGACTTTCACCCGGAATTATCCGTTTTTGCTTCTTTTTACATGTAGTATTCATTTACATTTGGAACAGGCTATTTTTAGTCAAGCCTACAATGCCATAATCAGTATGTTCCCCAGTTTTTTATTTTAGGTGGTAGACATTTTGTTATTAGTGATAAAACTATTTGAGATTTATGAAAATGTGTTTTACTTTTGACTGATCTTTTTCACCGGCATATGAGCCATATTCTGAATATTTAAATACATTTTTATTTACGTTAAGAATTGAAGTATTGTGTTACACCTGAAAATTATGGGGTGTTTGCGATTTTAGGCGGGTGTTCACCTCTTATTGGGGGTGTGTAGGAAACTCGCTGGCCATAACATTTCCCAAAGTTTGGAAATCATTTAAAACTCAGCATACTAAGCCTTAAAATAATCATGCTTACTAAAACAAACATTTGCTCAGCGTAAAATTTTCTTAGAGGGAAGATTAAAGATTGATTGAATAAAGTACTTTCACATATAGTCAGCGAAGAATAAACAGTTCCAAAATACGTACTCCCGTAGTATGTGTACCAGGTTAGTGTTAGGACATAAATTTTTCTTCCGATGTTCCCTATCTTACTTATATTACGAGTCGGGGACTGTCTGTGTTAGCCAAGTGAATATACCCCTGCCCATTGGTTTCAGTCCCTTTACACAACTTGATGTAGAATAGGCGAATAAATTTAGTTACATCCATATTGGTACACATACTTCTGGAGCGCCCAAAAATATGTAAAACGTGAAATTTAACGAGAAATCGTTGGGAAAACTGAAATGACTAAATGTAAATATTCGTGTCGCATCGTCGTCAACAAGTCCACTCTCTAATTGTGATGTCACTGTAGTGCAGTCACTCTAACAATAGAAACCGAAATATCGCCTGCGGAAAACCAGCCTGAGAATCCATCTTCTGAATGCAGGTACTCGATGTTGAAGCCAACCTGTGAAACATCGAAATTCAATCTATGGCGTTTTTTTTTTATATATATATATACGTATTCATTCACGTCTTTCGATCCGATCAGGGGCTCACGCGGCCTTGGACCGGAAACGTTAGCTAAAACGGTCCAACTTGGCAAATAGAAATTTTAAGACTACAATGCAAATGTATTTAAGCTGACGCTTTAAACGCCAGACCAGGGGTGAAAAGGGCCAAAAATGTTGCCCATCTAGACTGGCGGGCCATGAATGTGTGAAAAAGTTACATATTATGAACATTATTTACAGTGTTACAAAAATAAAGTGGAAAACAAGAAGTTTCGTTTCAAAACTAAATCTAATTGCAATCTCAAATTCCTTGAGGTATTTTTTAGGTCAAACATTCAAATTTGGTTTAGTTCGGTAGCATCAGAATTAGTCATTCTCACAATTCCAATAGATGACATTGCAACTCATCTCAGCAGTCGATTGTGCTTATGTATGAACTGAGCGTTAAGTAAAATCCCTTAAACCCCGGATCGCGACTCAAGTCGGGTCACAGATCTTGGAGTCGAGTCCTCAAGTCATTTCGAGTCTTCAATAAATGGTCACCTGTTCCCTATGCCCACATAATTTTCGTGCGAACTCACGTAATCACGTAAGGGTAATTAATCAGAGGTGCAATTCCAAGAGTGTTCTCAACGCTCAGCATGCGTCATACCACCAAGAATAGCGAACTCTCATCAACGTTCATTATTTATTTACTCAAACCTCTTTCATGCTGTCGTCTCCCTCCTCGTTTTGGAATCCACTCAGAGTGAAAGTTTTTGAGTCGCCAGAAGTGACGCTGTATCTGCCGTCCATTGTAGTGAGCTGTAATCATAGATTTAATTATTCTTATAGAACTGGAATCTTCCCGGTTCCGATAATAGACTGGATTACTGGGTCAGAGCGTCAAAACTCAATATGAAAAACTATGAATAAAAAAGGGTAAAACTAAGATTCACAAATAGAAATAGGGGTACGCGACCCAAAGAGTTTGGGGAACCCTGCTTTAGGGCATCTCGCCTACATGGTGATAAGTAAATTGTTTTCTTACTTCAAATCTTGCGACTCTAACTGGGAATGTTATTGTCAGGACGTCTCCTTTGTGAAAGCCCCATCTGTAGTATACGCTGGAACTCGCTTCCTTTGCCTGATTATTATTCGGGAATGAATAGACGCTTACTGTAAAATAACAGTTTCACATATTTCAAAGGCGAGAAAGTATATTTATCATAAAAAAATTATTTGTGTGGTTTTTAGGCTTGTCCATGGAAAACGTTCGGTTGTATCTTCTAACGAAAATACAATCTTTAACCACTGAAAATTTTAAAGCAATTGGTCGTGAAGTTAATGAGAAAATCGATTTTTTTCGCAACAACAACAAATCGAAACCATAACTCCATTTTGTGTCCAAAAAATTTGCCTAAATAACTTACCGTACTCTACATCCTCAGGATTACATGTGAAAGACACACCTGCAAAACTGAATACCTTGTCTCTATTGAAGATTATCAAAGCATTGAATGTGCCGTTCATGGCTTCCCAGTCAGCTGGGGCTGTGATCTTATAAAAACCGTATTCAGGATCCGAACCGTCGGGAATGATGTGACCGTTCACTACCTGTAAAAATTCCAAGAACATCATTTTACGGTGGCTCAGTGGTTAGAGGGTTGGATTTAATAACAGTGTTGGCGCAGGAGTTTACACATCTCGGATTCCAATGCTATGATCACTAAGGCCAAGAGTGTGAAAAGCGTGTCCGGAAAATTCGCAGCATAGGAAAATTCGCGTAGAAAATCTCGCCCAGGAAATTCCACCATATGAAATTCCGCCGCATAGGAAAAATCGCCGCAGGAAATTTCACCGTGAGAAAACACGACGCAGGAAATTTCGCAGCATAGGAAATGTCGCCGCAGGAAATTTCGCTGCATAGGAAAAATCGCCGCAGGAAAATTCACCGTGAGAAAACACGACGCAGGAAATTTCGCAGCATAGGAAATGTCACCTGGGGAAATTTCGCCGCAAGAGTGGTTTTCTGTAAAACAAGTATTTGTGATAAAATCAGTTACGGTATGTTTATAGGGATAGGGTATGCTTTCAAATGACGAATCTTTTTTAAATAAAAAGGTATTTTGAAAACCTAACTGTTTTTATCACAAACAAAAACCGTATTCAGGATCCGAACCGTCGGGAATGATGTGACCGTTCATTACCGGTGAAAACACCCAGAATTTCACGGCGGCTCAGTGATTGAAGGGTTTGATTTAATAACAGTGTTGGCGCAGGAGTTTACACATCTCGGATTCCAATGCTATGATCACTAAGGCCAAGCGTGTCCGGAAAATTCGCAGCATAGGAAAATTTGCGTAGAAAATCTCGTCGCAGGAAACTCCACCATATAAAATTTCGCCGCATGGGAAAAATCGCCGCAGGAAATTTCACCGTAAGAAATCTCGCCGCAGGAAATTCCACAGTATAGGAAATCTCGACGCAGCGAATTTCACCGTAGGAAATATCGACGCAGCGAATTTCACCGTAGGAAATATCGACACAGGAAATTTCACCGTAGGAAATCTCTCCGCAGGAAATTCCACAGTAGGAAATCTCGACACAGAAAATTTCGCCGCATAGAAAATTTCGCTGCATAGGAAAAATTGCCGCAGGAAAATTTGCAGCATAGGAAATGTCACCTGGAGAAGTTTCGCCGCAAGAGCATTTTGCTGTAAAACAAGTATTTATGATAAATTAGTTAATAGGATAAATAAGATTTTTTTTAAATAAAAAGGTACTTCGAAAACCTAACTGTTTTTATCACAAATAACTTATTTTACAGCAAAATTGATATTTCGTCACGTAGCGTAGAAATGATATATGCGAAAATGGTTGAGCCACGCCAACTAGAAGTACTTGACGGCGATTAGGGGACATCAGGGGCATAGTCAGTGAGCAAGAACGAAGACCCCCCCCCCCCCCTCCTTTTTGGAAAAACTTAATGGCTCCGTCTCCGGATGCCGTCAAGTAGAAGCGACGTGATTGTGACCGAATAAGTCCGCAATTTCTATTTGAAGCCCTTGTTCCTGGCGAATCCTGACATATTCAGTTTCGATTTCTAAAAACAATCTGTATCACACATAACAATTTGGACTTGATTTGGACAAATATTTAAAGTTATATATATATATCTATGTATACAATACTTTAGCTGGATAGCAAGTATACTAACGTGGAACATGTTGACAGCATTAGGCAACTGTACAAAGCAAGTTCCATCCTTCAGTCCTTGGTATACCAAGCTAATGATGGCACCGGCGGATGATTGATCGTTCTGTGACCACTCGGTGATAACACTTACTGAAATGTAAGTATGTTTATTTGCCTCAAAAATATAACAGTGTCTGCGTAATAATATACGGTACTCCCGTAGTATGTGAACCAAGATGGCGGATACCGGAACGTAGTATGTGTACCAGGTTAGGGTTAGGCCATAATTTCATATACAAATACTACGGGAGTCACTTGGCTAGTCCCCGAACTAGTAATAGAACTAAAATGAGGAAAATTGAAAACAAATTATGGCCTAACCCTAGCCTGGCACACATACTAAGTTCCGGTGTCCGCCATCTTGGTCCACATACTTCGGGAGTACCAATTAAACAGTATAACAGAGACAGGATACATGTTCAAGACCTTACTGGCCTAAGATACAGATGTGCGACATGCACCCCAACAAGTATAACAGCAGTTTAGGACGTTATAGTAGGACAACAGACATGAAATATAATAAAAATCTAAGACAACACAAAAGGCAAAGAGTTAGACTTAACTGTGTTACCGAAACATAGTAGTATCAAACCAATACGGTTCGCCTTATCAAAAAACTTCCGATTTCGACTGACCACCATATCGTTTATAATTTTGATGACGTCACCACACAGAATTACAAAGGGGAAATCGATCTCATATACTATAGAACCTTGGATAGTTTTGATTAATAGCAGAACTTAAATACCAAAAATAACAGTAATAAAAGTAATATTTCTATATCGACAACAACACCATTTACCCACTGGAAATTTCGAAGCAATTGGTCCAACAGTGAAAGAAAAAAAACGATCGCTTTTTTTTTCACGACAACAAGAAGAAAACACACAACAACAACATAATAAACAAGAATATCGGTCAGAGACCGAAGACTTATCGTGTTTAACTCAAGACCGAAGACTTATCGAACTTAATAGGCTTCTGGTACGACATATGATGAATGCACATGCAAAATCTGGAGCAGATTCAATCTCTCACTCCATAGTGACACCTTGTGTTCCATCACTAATTAAATAATAACTCGCTAATTATACTACATAATTTATTCAAAATCAATAGGCTTCTGGAACGACATATGATGAATGCGCATGAAAAATCTGGAGTAGAATCAACCTCGCTTTCGTGAGATATCGCGTGCATCTAACAGACCGACAAACAGACAAATACCTATCAACATACCTACCGATTAAAATCGATAAGTAAAAACGATCCATAGATCCAATTCGTGTACAATAAAATTAAACAATGCAATTGACTTTTTTCATACCTGGAATTTGTGCAAATGCAGATCCCAGCAATAGAAAGGTCGCAGCTATTATGAATTTCATTTTTTTCTGAAAACGAGTTAAATAAAAGATATGAAAAAAGCTCAGCGGTGTGGCGCATTATGCTAAGCGTTGGGAATACTCTCGCCATCGCACCTTTGATTACTCTGTGTGGGTTCGCAGGTTCGAATCCCATTTAGTGTTGGTTATGTGCGAGAGGATTGCTGGACTCCTTGCCGCCGTAGGGCGGTTCACGTAAGGCCTGCTCGGTTACGTTTTTCTCCACCATCAAGTCCATGCTTCCGAAAAACAAATAACCAACTAAGCTCATACCCGACATGTACTGGTAACCGGACGAGATGCCGTGGTTCGCCATATGATTAAGCCGTCGTATCGGCTTTTGCTCTCCCCAGGGATAAATATGTAAACCTACCCTATTTTGATCATTTTTGAATTTCTAATATATATCCAGATAATTAACTTGGTATAAAGTGGATATAAAACCAGTAGTGTTTAGAAAAGCGACTTTTTTTTCATACAGTAACAACGAGAGGAAAAATACCAACAAGAACAACAAAATGATTCATAGTTCCATTTCGTGTCCAAAGAGCAGCGGAATGTTCAATTATATCTCAATTCATCTAATACAGTCAGACAACAGTGAAACGAACGAATATATAGGTTGGGGTTACACGAACGTAACTACCTTTTCTTGCTCTATGTCAGTGATTCCCAAAGGTGATTGATCGCAGATCAAAATTAGAAACTGAAGAATATTCGCGAGTCAGGAGAGGGGATCGCCCATGAGAGTACTGTATAATCAAGATCCCGAATTGTTAAGATACCAAACTAAATTTTAACGTATATACACGTGCTTGAACTATAATAATGACGTGGCAATTGACGGTATCTAGAAATCAAAACGAAAACAAAAACACACAAAGCAACTATTTAATTTTACCTCAAATAAAAATACTAGAGTAAAGATCTATTCTGTGCGATTTAAGAATTTATATGTATGATACAGAATAGTGCTTTTATTAGTTCGAGAGGGGGGGGGTCGACTCCTAAAACTACCCTTCCCTCTGGGCTAACTACTTATTCTTTTGCTTTAGCGATTATGGAACTGTATGCGTACAAGGATGCTGCGCAAAGAATTAGGAAGAGTAATACCTTAAATTTATCGCGTTTTATTCCTACTTAAATACCTTCTCAGTGGTTGTGTGTGTGTGGCTGGTGGGTGCATGTGAGCGTGTGTGAAATAACTTAATAATTTTAGGTGAGTAAACACGTACCACTTCCTCTTGGCAAAACCTTCCATCTTATATTTTGTACGCTGTAAACCTTATCTAGGGTTTTGTTTGCTCGCCTGATTTCATAATCAGTTTTTATTTATTTGTTTTTATCTGTCAAATGTATTGTTATGCTGATTATGGAGTCGAAATAAACTTATACTCATACTCATACTTATATTCTAAGTCATTCGAGAGTCTTGCTGCACACTAACACAAATATAATCCCTACCTACCTTTCTTCTATGCTTTAGCGCTTTTAGATCCGTATTCATATAACCCAAAGATATTGTGTAAATGACTATTCTAAGTGATTCAAGGGTCTTGCTAAATACTGACCCAAAAAAATATATTTCTGTAACGTTTCGTCTGACGGGGTCAGAATTCTTCAGACAAACGTAATTTAATCCTGGTCTCGATCAGATTTGGTAATACGTTTCAGAAACACATTTGTGTTTGTGCATGGGCAGTCAACAATTTGAATCGATGGGTAGAAATGAACTTAGCTCTCGCCTATTTGTGTAGGGCTGTGGGCGATTTCACTTGAAACATTCATTTATTCGATTCAAAACACCGATTAAATCATCAAAAAGTACCTACGTACGTAAAAACGTTTCTGTTTCAAGTAGGCGCCGAGGGCAAAATACGTGGTCTTTGTGTATCGTTAATCATACATTTGTCGTCAAATGAAACGCATATATTTATTTTACTCAATCCTCGCGCCGTTCTGTGGTAGTTAAACAACCAGCATCGCGTAATACAATTACATGTGCCCAACATTCGGCCTGCTTGGCGGCACCCACTCCAAAAAAAAAATCTGAACGATGTATACTCGCACCTCTCGCTCGGAACGAGGCCAGACACAAGAAGCCACTGGTATCTAACGATATCAGATCCTCCGTAGCGACTTACTCTGTTGTGGAAATTACCATGCTATATAATACATATACAATAAACTACTGACTGACTGATATACGAGTGCACAATTTAATTTCACGTATATCGGTTGGTTCATTCAGACGAACAATTGATTGTACGTAAAAATCACTCACTATTATAGCAAAAAAGCAAGAAAAGACGTACCGTGTGCCTAACCGCAAATGCCACAATAAAAAATGTCTTAAATATTTTTTTTTGGCTTGCCCCCACGACTCGCTTTTGCTGCAAAGTCAAACTTTCAATCCTGTCACGCGGCGCGGATCATCGTGCCAAGCATTAGGAATACGATCGCCACCGCATCTCTAATTACTCTGCGTGGGTTCGCAGGTTCGAATCCCATGCGGGATAGTTTCGTGCGAGAGGATTGCTAAACTCTTCGCCGTCGTAAGGTGGTTCACGTAACCGCTGGTCCGTTACGGCTTCCTCCACCATCAAGTCCATGCTTCCGAAAACAATTAACTAACTAATCCCATACCCGACATGGAGTTCGCCATATGGTTAAACCGTCTTATCGGCTTTCCTCTCCCCCGGGATAAATATGTAAATTCTATCACAACAATTATTATTCATTGCAATGTTGTCTTTTGAGACTCTGAGCCCAGTTACTTGAATTGACTTTACATTCATGGGGCGCTCCTGAAGTATGTGTACCAATATGGGTAACAAATTTTGTTTACCTATTAGTAGTAGTATGTATCAGTATTTTACATATTTATCCCGAGGGAGGGGAAAGCCGATAAGACGGCTTATCCATATGGCGAACCATGGCCTCTCGTCCGGTTACCATTCCATGTCGGGTATGGGATTAGTTAGATATTTGTTTTCGGAAGTATGGACTTGGTGGTGGAGGAAGCCGTAACCGACCAGCGGTTACGTGAACCACCCAACGACGGCGAGGAGTCCAGCAATCCTCTCGCACATAACCATCCCTGCATGGGATTCGAACCTGCGAACCCACGCAGAGTAATTAGAGGTGCTGTGGCGAGCTTATTCCTAACGCTTAGCCCGTTGAGCCACACCGCCGCGCCGCATTTACATCAATTTGTGTGAAGAGACCGACACCTATAGACAGAGATATTCACTTGGCTCACACAGCCAGTCCCTGAGCTGGCAAAAATTTTTATTACTCAAAGAAAAATATGGCCCAAACCTAACCTGGTACGCATACTTCAGGAATAGCCTAGTTTTATGGTTGCCGTGATCAGAGTTTTGTAGGGACTCAGATGGCCGTTATTTTGCAGTTCAAACTCAGAGTGCAGACTCGGAACTCTAATTTTTGAAGTCTTTGAAACTTTTGACTTGACAAAAGACCGAATAGTGCCAGGGATGGCGAACCTTTTTCAATGAATGGGTCAAAAATAATATTTTTATCGCGGAACACAAGAAAGTGGGTCACAGATATTTAATCAATGTTTGTATCAATAAGAAACTTCCGAAACAAAGCTTCTGTTGGCGTTGGTGTGGTTTTTGGCTTTACTCATGCAGCACTTCCTAATGCGGCAAACTATTTTACGGTTCCAAAGAGTTTGGAGAGAACTCCACTCTGATAAGAGTTATATTTTTGGATCAGCTTTCAACCACATTAGGCACGTTTACACCGTCCAATTGTTATTTCGGATTTCTAGGTTTTTATTTCTGAAAGATTTTGTTTTCTAAACGGCATTGTAGGCGAGAAACTAATAAAATGCAAAGTAGCATCTAGTTCTCGTATAACCCCTAAAACAGTCTGCAGATGCTTTCCGAAAGAGACAAGACGTAACGAAAATGGAACAGATCAATTGCATTGTTATGTCATGAACGATGTCAGAGCCAATAGCTGAATAACGGTACACAGCGGTGCAAACATGCGTCCAAGATTAGGGGTTTTGAAAATTTCCATACCGGCCCTAAATTAACAAGTTGAATATGAGCGATTGCAGCGTTGAATGCCCAACTGACGGTACATTATAATAGTTTAGTTATTGTTAAATTAATTTAAAGCCAGTTTTAGCATTCTTTTTATTCGTGCCTTGGGAGGGTCACGAATAAAACGGGGGTCAGTGGTTCGCCATCCCTCGATTAGTCCATTACTCCAGTTTGGTTCACAGTTTATAGAGAGCAAACACTGCTCTTTCCACTAAAGTTTAACAGGCTGGGGATTCGCTTACATAAAAATGCAATAAAATTGAAAAAATGCAGAAGAAACATTCCGATCCCACTTTATTCTAGAAAACCGTCCATTGTCAAGAAATTAAAAAAACATGAAAATAAGTCAAAGCAATAGGTAAACAAGGCAGAAAAAAAGATCTCGTCTTTGCAAGTATATGAAGAAAGAAAAAAATATTTACAGTCAATGGAGAATTATTGAGTCACAATCAAAATAATATTCAAAACTACGAAAGAATTAAATTTTTCCATCAACTGAAAAATGTAAGAGTGATACCAATTAAGACAGGGCTCTTCATACTGGGGGTCCCAATACCTGGGTTTGCTCAATGGAGGCGCAGTAAAATCTTTTTGGAACATGACACGGATTTGTGTTGAAACAAAATATCAATACAATTTGAAACCAGTACTACAGGCTACCATCACTGAAATAGAGCGATGGTCACATGGTACACATACTCCGAGAAAAAGGTTTGAACAACACTGAACTAAAGATGGGTTATGCTCAGGCTATAGTAGTACCACTAACTTTACTCAGTTCTTCTGCATAAAGCGGATAAATTGTTTCAAATCTGTTATTTAAGGAGTTGTGGAATCTCAGTAAACACACAAAAAGCCAGAAGTGAGCTAACTACGACCCGCAGGCGTTATTCGGCCCATCGATGTTTTATCCAGTCGCTGGTATTCATATCAAGTTTTAATCCTCCAGCATACTAACCAAGTCTATTATTTGAAACTGGCTCACTCAGAAAATCAATTGCCACCACTGATAAAAGAACCTTGAAAAGATTATTAAATTGGGAATTCGACACCAGATGTCAATCATAGAACAATTTAGTGGCCGTGGATTTGGGAGAAAAATACATCCAACTGCAAACCCAAAAATTCTTAATACACAGCGGAAAATCCTTACAAATGGCTCTGAATCAAATATCAAAGTACCATGGAGGGGAATTGTACCATTTTATTACATTTTCTCTCTTGAAACAATTATCAAAAATTATGTGCCCATTTTGAGACAGTTTGTTCTAAAATTTCACTTTCCAAAAATAAAAACAATTTTTCATAGCTCTTCCGAGACCACTGTCTAAATTTTTGTACCCGCTGGATTATCCCTTGCTGTCTCGAGCCTCTGGCAGACCCATGGGAGGAAAAAATGCAATATTTCTAAACAAAATAAAAAGTAAGCAAAAATATTCAAAAAACAAGAGAATGAAAACTTGGCAATAAACAAATTGCAATAAACAAATTGCAGGATTACGCTATTCGAGAGAAATGAAAAAAATATATGGATAGAAGCCTGCAGACAGCTCACTTATTTAAAATATTGTAATGATGATAATTTTGGCAGGACCAAACTTGATACCTGGGAACAATTCGAAATGTATGGACAGAAATTCAGTGCAGTAGTAGGTGTACTCAATTCATCTCAAAACCAAAATTAAAAGGGCCACAGAAAAAATTTGAAAATGTGTAATAAAAATGCCCTACGATAGACGAAAAAAAATGAATATTCGTTTTCAGAAATTTAGTAGCCGAAGCAAAATTTTTGTTAACCTGTTTTTGAATTTCTCAATAGTCCGGAGTCAGGTTTTAACTTTCAAGACTCCCTCAAATTCCATTTATTATTTGTGAGCTTTTTTATTAATTGTTAATTATAACTTGAACTCATAAAATCAAGTAATTTTAATTGGGCTATGTATGACATAGGTTCTCAAATGCTCTGTTCAAAGCCCCAGGGCAATGAGCTGTAAGCTATTCGTTTTTTGTGAGTCAAAGGTGTGGAGAGCGTGAAATTGTAGTTTTCAACACTTGAGAGTCAAAGACGACAGGAGAAACTTAAAAACGAAACCTAAGTGTTACTGAGAATAAGGCTTGCAAGCATCAATGTTTTTGTGGATAAAATCTGGTTTTCTCAGAGTTGGAAGACAGTTGTCAAATACCAAGCAATATTACGATAGTCAAGACCCATAGAAAAACAAATAGACTGGATTTAGTTATCAGTCATGCCACGTAGTCATGGTGAGAGCTTGATTCCCCATTTTTCCTGTAATGTATGAACAGTCTGCTCATACGCGCATCCCGGTCGAAGCACTTTGAAGGATTTTCCATCTTGTTGGATTCGAAATACGGTCGACCCTTGTCGTGACGACGCACTGTGTAAACCATTTATAAGTCCGACATGACCTCCGTCAATTATGGCGTCCAATTTTTCGTGTAAATAGTCAAAATCATCGATGCATAACGGGCTCATTGAGGCAGAAAGATTTGCTGACGTCAAAGCAAGCGGTTCTTTTAGTCTGTTTGTTAAGTCTCGTATAAATTGGTGATCTGGAACGCGAATCCCGACCAATTGCGTTTCAGGATTTAATTCCATGTTGAGGGCAGGAGTGCGTTCCGTTACAATCGTCACAGGGCCGGGGAGTAAGTCACTTAAAATTTCAATCGGTCGATCGGTCATATTATCCCCCCCTTCTTTACTGCCAGGTAATTTAGGGAATTTTCCCCATTGAAATACATCATAAACCTCCCCGACACAAATTGCTATTGGTTTGGAAAGGTCGCGACCTTTTAGTTTGTAAATTTTTTCAATCGCTTCAGATGATTGCGCAAGACAACCGACCCCATATAGTGTATCCGTTGGCAACGCAATGACCCCTCCTTGCTGTAAAATTTTGACTAATTTCTCAATAATATCAGAGTTATCATTGTTTTTATTCAACCTGTATATTTTCCCCATGCTGTTCGTTGACCCATGTCCATTGACATCTGACCTTTGACTTCCACTCATTTTGGCACCAACAATTGACTCAACACAGAGTCTGGTCTGGTTTGTTCTCGAAAATCCCGAAACGAGGTTCACTTTCGTTAAGAATTTTTTCATGTAAATCCAGGCTTAGTCTACCTGAACGAATTATGAGATATGCTGGAAACAAATATACACTCACTCAGAAATATAGAAAGACCTATTTTTAGGCAAACTTGCTGGATATTCTAAATAATTGAAATATGCTTATATCGTAGTCATAGTCTAGTTTACTTTTTTCCATCCAGTAAACAAAACCATTGACAAAAATGATTGAAACCCTTGAAAATTACGGAGAACTAATTGGGAATGAAATGCCACTGACAAGTGCAAATTGAACATGTGGGGTGAAACCGGATTAGTAACTGCTCCATTTACATTCTAAATTGGGACCATACTTGCATAAATCTAGAGGCGCAGTTCTTACCACTTCATGGCAGCTACTGCCACGAACGAACCGCGCAGCTCTTGCCATGGTTTTATAGCGCTATTCAGTATTAACAGTATATTCACAAATTAATGTACCGGATTTTAATTGATAGGATAGGATTTACATATTTATCCTGGGGGAGAGGAAAGCCGATAAAACGGCTTATCCATATGGCTAACCACAGCCTCTCGTCCTGTTACCATTCCAAGTCGGGCATGGGATTAGTTATATTGTTTGTTTTCGAAGGCATGGACTGGTGGTGGAGGAAGCCGTAACCGACCAGCAGTTACGTGAACCACCCAACGACGGCGAGGAGTCCAGCAATCCTCTCGCACATAACCATCCCTGCATGGGATTCGAACCTGCGAACCCACGCAGAGTAATTAGAGGTGTGGTGGCGAGCACATTCCTAACGCTTAGCCCATTGAGCCACACCGCTGCGCCCATGATCATGCGGAATTATATCTACTTAAACCCTAACCCCAAATCCATCAAAACTGTATCCATAAGAAAAACGTTCAACTTACTCAATATTTGTCACCATACAGCCATAAGGGACAGCCCTGTCCTTACGGCCCACCTGCCGTGGTTACGGCAGCAAAATTTTACTTGCCATTGGTTTTCCCTTTGCTGCCGCGGTAACGGCAGCTCGTCATTGGTTTGTGGCAGCTAAAAATTCAGTCGCTATAGGTTTGGCCCTAGCGGCCATGGTATGGAAATACCGCCATGGTTTTGCGGCAGCTGCAGACGCCACAGAATACTTAAAACTGCACTTGTAAATCTCAGTCAATTTATAGCATCATCATTAAATTAGTTGGCCAGTTATTTGTTTTCAGATGCATGGATTTGATGGTATAGAAAGTCCCAACCGATCAGCGGTTACGTGAACCTTACCACAGTGGCACTGGCAGGAAGTAGAGCATTAATCTTGCACATAATTTACACCGTATGGGATTCGAACCCACACAAATTAATCAGATGTGCAGTGGCGAACGTATTCCTACCGCTCAGCACAATGCGCCACATCGCCAAGCCCCCTAGTTGACTAGTTCTGTAGTGTGTACCTATTTCTTGAAGTCATGGGTATTTATGGTTGAGAATAGGTTACCGGTACCGGATACCCTGTAAACTGACCATTCTAACACAGTACCGGTACGGTACCTATGCCCCCACAAATACGCATCATTGTTATCCACATGAATTAAGTTAACTGGACTGGACTATCTTACCATTACCATCTCATAAGTTACCTATGTCAACCAACCGGCTTTACCAGAACTCCAACCACGCACAGCCACAGCGCAAATTCCTGAGCAACAAAACAGAAAAGCATGACTGACACATGGCGAAATTCATACTTTTACTGTGCATTACGTAATCAGATACGCTTGGGTACACATGGTAGGAGTATAGCACAGGATTTTCATATTATAGTATAAGTTTGTTATGACCCCATATTCAGCATGAAATATTTAATAATAACAAAATATAATTGATGATAAAATCAAGGAAGCGAATAAGAAGTTCAAAACATACAGATGTCAGATTGAGTGAAAGGTGTTGTCGAAAGAAATGGCGCGGCGGTGTGGCTTATCGTGGTAAGCGTTAGGGATAAGATCGACACCGCACCTCTGATAACTCTGCGTGGGTTCGCATCCCATGCGGGGATGGTTATGTGCGAGAGGTTTGCTAGCCGCTGTAGGGTGGTTCACGTAACCGCTGGTCGGTTACGGCTATATTCACCATCAACTCCATGCTTCCAAAAAAAAAAACTAACTAATCCCATACCCGACATGGAATGGTAACCGGACAAGCGGCCGTGGTTCTCCATATAGGATAAGATGGCTTAGCCCCGGAATAAATATATAAGCCATATTCTATTCACACGTTCGCTCACCCTATCTTTTGTTCAGAATATACACAACGGGAACCATTTCGGAACACATATTTGTCAAAAAAGTTTTATTGCTGTCTTTCAGAGTTTAAATATGTCCATCTAATATACCCACTCCATTTACCCAACAATTTTTATCATAAAAAAGTTGACTTCCTATATATTTTCCAAGATGAAGTGAAGCCTTTTCTTTTAAAACTGAGTTCACCATCATGTCGCGGATACTTTGCCCGTTTACGAATAAAGTGCCGTTATCAAAATGCTCAAATATATTTTTATATTTACATTTTTCGAATAACAGAACTAAAATCATTCTGCAATTTTGTCGTTACGAGTATCAACAGCTATTGCAGTACGGAAACCCCGGGTGTTATTATTACGGTACCTGTCGTGCACAGAGTTATTGAAATATTCGAAGAATTGAAAAGTTGTTTTAACTCTCCAGGATAACCTATTTAATTATTTCTATATAAAAAAATTTGGCGACACGCGTACCGGCTAATTTCGATTCCGGTATCTACTCGCAAAGGCATGATAGTGTTAATTAGCTTCACCCGCCCTTAAAAGATTGTCTACACTCCTCTTGTGGGGCGCCCCGTACCGTTTGAGAACCACTTAACTAGAAGAATGATATCTCAGACACGCAAATTCGAACTGGAAATACCGATATCGATACATCGAGCATATTTCCGCCATTTTGTTTTGATTTTTTCTGCAACTAGTAGAGTGAATTAAGCTAGAGGAAGGATTGTACATTTGAATATAACATTGAGACATTCAATTGCATTGTGAAAATGATATCCGAACCAACGCTACAAGTCAAGCGAGCAAAACCTAAAATGATACTTAAGACGCTAATAAGCTTGTTCGCTTATCTTATAAGCACCAACAACCAGATAACCCAAAATAATTGACGTATGTGCCTAGTTCATACTTTACGGACCATGAAGCGCACTTTGAATGCCTTTCTTTCTTAAAAATCGATCTTGTGCCTAATAAGCCGGTGCGCCTAAGCAGGGTTTTTCAAATTTGAAATTCAATCGTGAATCTGTCACGATAGAAAGATGTTGTCTACTGTGGTTGTAGATGATTCAGAAGACTCACGGGTTCTGGATTGGTTGTTTATTGTACGACAACTCCACAATTAAAAGCATATAACAGCTAAAAAAAACATCACTAACGAACAGAGAACACGGCCGACCAGCGCAGCGATCGGAGAAAGAGAGCGAAAGACATGATTTTTCTCTCACGTGTAGTGGGTGGTCGGAGTCCAGATCCAACAAAACAGCATTAAAGAAGGGTCAACATAACAGTTTATAAACATAAAAATATATATACACAAAATAAAAACACGGAAACTATGGTTCGAGACAAATCTTAGTTCTGACGGACCCCCAACCCATGCCGTATCAATCCCTGTGCCCAACCAACGAGGAAGGATAATGTTTCACTTGCAAACGGCATTAATGTGATGAATGAGGTTGCTTTTTATAAATCATCAACTTTCGGAGCAATTTATGACGGGCAAACTCGTAGGTCCGACTCTAGTATCGACCCGTATTTATCATCATGTTGCTGAAAGCTTAAAATTTTGTCGCACACATGTAGGTCGTTGGGAAAGGCAAAAAATTTTTGTTGACTTTTCTGACAATAATGGATATTCCGCAACACTCAACCAAAAAATGCTATGACTTTTCGATTGAAATCAATCATTAAAAATCGATCAAATCTTTTTATACCGTGGACTCCAGATTGGGTAACCCTGGCGTAATGTGTGAATAAAAACCCAATCTTATCTGAGCCATTTATTTACAGTGCGCCTCATGCTCCATAAATACAGTACAATATTTTACATAAATGATAACCACCAAGTAAAAGTGGTGGCCGGGGACAAAAGCAGTGTTTGGTCAGTGGAATGATTTGTATATGCTGTGAGTTAAATCTACTGTAATTAGGGCGGCTTTTTGTATCAAAGCAAGACAATTTTTCTACGTCAGTGATTTCGATCCTTTCATATCCCGTGGTTCCCTTCCGGAGGCTTTTGCACTCGTGACTCCCTGTTTATTGTCCCAATGGCATTTATAGTGTTATTTTGATTGATAGAATACAAATCCAATCATGTTCAAAAAAATTCATGCTAAACGAAGTGAAAATACCCTGTAAAATAACTTTATCAAGCAATGAAACTAAGAAGAGAGGGCGTTTACTTGTGAAGGGAAAAGTAAAATCAGTTTTGCGCTTAGCATGGTGCCCCCTTCAACTGCTATGTAGCCCCATTGTTGTACGCACTGTCACATGAAAACATTGTAGAGTCGTGATGAATGCGTGGTAACAAACGGTATCGAATAATGTCTGTCTCATCATAACAAAAGAATCGTACATATCAAAATACATTACGACGCCATTCGTTCGTAAACTTTGTTTCCAAAGAAAGGTCGTTTCCCCGAATGAATCAAACATCGAGAAGGGTTTGGAATTTTCTTAGTCGATACCCGTCTGGTTCCCAGATGCCACCGTTGTACCGTTGTAGGCATCGCTAGTTTGTTGATTATCGTGAATAAGTTAAGACAGTGAAAGTAGAGAAGTAGGAGATTTGAAAGAATATAGAAAGTAAAGAAGGGAGGCATGAACACTTTTTAGTACCGGCACGATTTTAAATGAGTCTTCCCGGCTTGCCTCTGAGATTCAAAAAGAACCTTTTTAAATCCAGGGTTGAATAGACCTTTCCCCGAGCATCGACTTCCTTGTTTACTTCGTGACATTGGACAATCAGCAAGATGCAAAAAGTGACGTAACAATGCCCCCTT